GAGGAAGGGAGGGGAGGGGGAGGAGGGGAAGGGGAGGAGGAGAGGAGGCCAGGGGAAGGGAAAGAAAGAAAATGAATTTTAAAAAAAGGTTATCTTTTACAAAACCATGATTATATTTGCTTTACATAAAAATGCTTTAGGGCTTCCCTGGTGGCACAGTGTTTGAGGGTCCGCCTGCCCATACAAGGGACACGGATTCGTGCCCCAGTCCGGGAAGATCCCACATGCTGTGGAGCTGCTGGGCCCGTGAGCCATGGCCGCTGAGCCTGTGCATCCAGAGCACAGGCTCCGCAACGGAAAAGGCCACAACAGTGAGAGGCCCCCGTACCGCAAAAAAAAAAAGAAAAAAGAAAAATGCTTTAAAAAATCTGGACCAACCATGAAACTCTTCAAGAATGTGAGCAGTTTGTTTATACTTCAAATTTAATTCTGGTACGTAGTTTTGGCTGTATAATGAGTTCAGGAACGAACAAATTAAGAATATGCTTATAACTCACATGGACATTACTCACCCACATTTGGAGGTTTCACATAATTTACAGGTAGTTCTGGAGGTCTGCCTCTATGTAGAGCTGCAAAAGCAGAGCCATTCCATAGCGTACTCTTACAGTCTATACAAAAAGATTCAAAAGTTAGTCAAGGCATAGAACAGTTTTTTTTTTAACTGTACCCTAGAGGCAAATAACTGTTTTCAATTTTATTTATTGAAATACATTTTTAACTATTAAAACCCAAATAAGAAATAACATGCATATGTTTAAAAGTGTTATAATCTATATTATGATAGGTAAACACCAATGCCTTAATATTATCATCAGGATATTTTATTTCCATGCTGATATAGAACCAAAACTTTTATTATACATATATTTGAATCTTATGTAAATATGTCATGGATTAATAAGGTTTTAATTTTACATTGGTCCCCTTATTGATCTTTAGGCTTATACACATCTGCTCATATAAAACTGTATAAGCAAGGAAATGAATACAGCACAAGTATGCCAGGTAAAATTCAGAAAAATTTATACTTCGTGTATGCTAATGTTATGGAGTGCCTGCCAGCTGTGCCATAACAGGTAACACTGCATATCAGATGATAATTGAGTAAAAATAGTTGGGTTTTTATCTTTAATGTTTATGTCAAAAAATTCAAGCAAATACGAAATATTCCTAATAATTCAACTTTGAAACAAAAATATTCTATTACTCTCTTGAAAGATTGCAAATTAACTGAATTAAAGAATTTCCTTAAATTAAGATATTTAAAAACTGACATCATTTATGTAACTATTTATATTTGTCAATTAGGATTTTTAAAACATTATGCTAAAAAAAAAAACACAGAAATAAATTGGTTGCTAGACCTGAAGTATTTAATTCACTAAGGTATCCTAAACGCCTAATTTCACATTTTTACGTTCAGAAAATTCTATCTATATAATTTACATATGGGGGTCCCGTGTAAAACATTGGGAGAAATCTGTAAAAGACTGAAAAATAGTGGAGTAGAGAAACTGTTACTGAACGCTGATGGATTGATTCTTTTTAATATTTTTAATTATAAACATAGTTACACATCATAATTTTCATTTACCTGTTATGAAATACCCAATGTGATTAAGATGATATCAAGACTCAAAGATTAAGAACATCAAAATGTAATGAAAGAATATTTTATGTATTTATACTGTACTAATCAGAGCAGCAATCTTTTGAGATTTCTATTCCACAGGATTATAAAGAGATTTTATAGTCTTTACCTCTATAGTATTCACTGTTTTACAGAAAAAGGCTCCATTTAGGCCTCTAAAAATTTACTTGTACACTAGGAAAATAAAAACAAGATTGGCAAGATAAGAAAAACTAAAAGAAAATTAGTATTTAGAAAAGCATGGGAACATTTAATTAACATAAAAATACACTACTCTCGACTCCTTCCTCTAAAAACTGTAAAAATCTTACCTTTGGCATCCCGTAACAGAGACTGCCGACCAACACCTAGTAATGTCTGTACCCCAGGAACACTCTGAGGGATCTCCTTATCTAGTAAGGGACCAATCCGCTCACAAATTTTAAGGAGGTAGTCTGGAGGAATGTGTGCATTGGCTGCCACCTAAAAAGCATAAGTAAAATACATTAATGTTTTTGGTTTAAAAACATTAATCTAGTCCATTACCAAACTGTTCCATCATGGAAAAAAAGTACAATTTTAAAACACACAAGGGAAAATAACATTTTAAATATTTAATACTTCAACCAAATTTAAGAAACAGCTACAAAAGTTAAGCATCATTTAAACAAGTGATAACACATAAATGACATGGCAGTTTAACTTACTTTTTCGTGCCTTGATTAAATCATTTGCTTAGCTGTTAATCTAATGCAATAAGCATTACAAAACAGCAAAAAGGATCATGCCTAAAAATCAAAGAAGTACAAAGAGGATGGGTAAACTCCACTAGTACTTGATCAGCAGTGATCAAGAATCAGAGAATCTAGATTCTATATAAATGATAAGAATGCAAACAAAAGGTAATACTTGCACCAAACTCTCACTTAAGTCCCTTTAGGATTAACAGGACACATTTGCTTAATTAAAGCAGAACTCTTTCTCCTAAAAAAGGTTTGGTTTTCAAAAGAGTATCAAATTAATGATTATTTTAAATACCATGTTCTAAACAAGCTATGTACTCAAAATTCATTGCAACATTAACTCATTTTTTTCCTCCAAGTGCTTTATTTATTTTAACATTAACTCATCTTTAAAACACAAGTAAATTTCTGAAGATGATTAACAAATGTAGATAGGGATGAGACAATAAAACAATGAAACTGGTTTTCATTTTTTATCTAAGCTAATGTTAAAGTTACTGATGTGTTTCATAAATACCTAATTATTAAAACAGTAAAGTGTAAACTAGAACATTAAAAATCCTTAGATAAAAAGAACATCTATATTCTCATCTTGACAAAAGGCCCTAAAATCTACTTACAGTTACAATGCCAATTTTTATAAGTGCTACAGAGAGAGAAATATATATATATATATACATATATATACCTACCATCACATAGGACACATATCAATATATTACTTCCAAGTAAAAAACAATATAACTCAACGGAATAATTTTGTAAATAATCCCTAATGATCACCAAAAGAGATTATGTGTATTCTTGATAAATACTGGTTCACTGAATCAATGAATAAATAAAAACCAAAGTCTACCTATAAGTAATATCATATGAACTCACAGAGGAAAAATCTTTCTCCTATCAGGGTGTCTTTTTTGTTTCTTAGGAAACACAGGTCAAAGAACTACAATCCAACATGTATTTAGGAATCTGGGAATAAATGATTCTATTGTGATTATTTTAAATTATTTCCTGCCAATTATCCTTCTTAAGTCTCTGAAAAAACAAATTTTAATCTACCAAAATCACTGGGGCCTGGCAACTGTCATGATGGTCAGGAAGAATGGCAACTTATGGGACTTCCCTGGCACAGTGATTAAGACTCCATGCTTCCACTGCAGGGGGCATGGGTTTGACCTCTGGTCAGGGAACTAAGATAAAAAAAAAAAGAAGAATGGCAACTTAACCTGATTATTTGCATCTACAAGGTTTAGCTTCTGGATTGGGACAAAGGATCAAGCAAACTCTTTCAGTTATTTCACACATGTCTAGTTTTGTTTTCCAAGCAATTAACTACATCGAACTAAAATATACAGGTAATATTAAAGTCAAAGTACGTGATGATTCAATCTAAAAACTTTTTTTTTTTGTTACCTAGAGACACTGATGTCCTAAAATCCTAGTTTGTAATTCATTCTCTCCACAATAGGGCATTCCTAAATAGGTCTACATACAAATATAGTCAGTACTCCTAAAAACGTATATCTCAAAGAAAAAAGCCTTAACATACTGCATATTAACATCTATAATAGTTTTTGCCTTTTTTCCCCAACACTGTCTTGTATAAACTGGGCTTCTGATATCAGTAATTACCTTTTCACCAAGTAAATGTTATAAGGCTTTACACACAATGGTAGTTGATGTCTTTAGTGGCATTTTCTTTTTTATCAATTTTCTTTTCCTCATTTCATTACCATCTCGAATTATTCACTTGTTACACAAATCTAACTACCCTGAAACTTGCAATATATATACAGTAACATATAATCCAGAAAATGGGAGTTCTCTGATATGAATTTTTAGTATTATCCTCTTAAAGAAACCTGTCAGAATTATATCTTAAACTGAAATCTTAGGCCCCCTGGCTACTTCATTTTATAAAAACAATGACGCTTGATTTTCAGCTAGTTATATAAATGTTTTATCTATTCCTCAGTAATCATTTAAAAACACAGAATCATTAATTAAGCAACCAAAACAAGGCTCATCTACTCTCACATTCTCCCCCTTGAAAATTTGTATTATAAACTATTAAAGTTTACAAGTTTGCTTTTCACCCTATGCAATAGAAAATTGCTCAATTTCTAGGCAGTCCCATTCAAAAATCCATTCCTCTAAAATCAATAAAAATTTGATTGTAAAACAGCACTAGAGAAACAGAGATTCTATCAACACAATGGCAATAACAATACTTTTGAGTTTGAACGTGCTCTTTTCCTTTAAACAATATTTACAGGCTTCCAGACTATATCAGCACAGTTCTAGCAATGATAGTTTCTTCTAAATCAAACTTCAGGACTTATAAGTGGTATTAAACATTTACTTCAATCCATTTGCTTTGCCTAAAGCTGGAACTCTTTTTTTTAATTTTTTTTAAAAATCGGTATTTATTTATTTACTTGGCTGTGCCTGTTCTTAGTTGTGGCATGTGGGATCTTTAGTTGTGGCATTCAAACTCTTAGTTGGGGCATGTGGGATCTAGTTCCCTGACCGGGGATCAAACCGGGCCCCTTGCATTGGGAGTGCAGTCTTACCCACTGGACCACCAGGGAAGTCCCCAAAGCTGGAATTTCTTAAAGGTGATCTTTTTAGGCATAACAACCCTTATCCACCCTCAGTAATTACATTTCTAAGTTTTTAAAAAATTCTGTATTAGAATTACATGTGAATATAATGTAATATATAATAAAATGTAATATTGAAAGTATGTATTAAAATATTCTATGAAATTTGTGGCCACTCTTTTCGATTAAAACTCAAAATATTCTAATTTCAGTTATTTAGCCAAATTTCTTTCTGGAATATAATGGCCAAGAAGTAACACAGCAAGCACTTTGAGATCTGAAGAAGAAAGGCACTCTCTAAAAACAAAGTTCAAGAGCATAATACAAACGTTTGTATTATTCTGTAAAATAGCTCCAAGGAGTTAAATTATAGAACCTTTGAACTGGAAGGATCCTTATATACAATCAACTTAATTCCACATCTTACAGTAGGAAAAACAGATCCAGAGGAGTGAAGTCCAATGGTCACAATGAATGGACTAGAATCTGGGTCTCTGTACCCACTGTTATTTCTATTACTGTCCCATTAAGGCAGCTGAAAAATCATGAAAGTAACACAAAGACTGCAAAAAATTAAAACTATAAATTTGATAAACTGAAAGAAATTAAACGAAGCCTAGATTATAAACCTTCTTGATAGGAACACTGGCTGACCTAAAGAGCAAATCTAACAACTGAAATTACCATACTTGAGAATCATTATGACAACTGAGAAGACCAGAGAGCTCACTGAGATGATCCTACTACTCATAATTAGTTAAAAGGAATCCAGCTGGGCACTGAATAAACTACAAAAGGTACCTAATCTCAGGGGGCCAGACCTGCACCAAGAGCTACATTTGAAATACTAATTTTCAGATAGCCATGATAGCATTCTTACTTTGGCTTTTCGAAATAATAAGATCAGACAAGTAACTAAATAACAAAGAAAATAAAACTGTGTGTTTTGTTTTCTAACTAAAATCACTACACAGGTAAAATGAAGAATGAAACTGAGACCATATGCTGAAGAAGTAAAATGCAACATTTTGTCTGAGATTTGAAATGGGTTTTTTTGGGGGGGATAGAAAATGAACATCCATAAAGTTAGTCACATGACTTTGATATTTAGGGACAGGAAACAAAACAGATTTTGAAAAATACAGCAAGGCTTTAAATATATCAATATAAGTATAGTAGAGATAAGCACAGTACTTTGAAGTCTAAGAGCCTGGATTACTCAGGCTCTAAAATTTACTAGCTGTTACTCCTTCTGGCAGTATGATACTGTAGAAAAGACTTAGATTTGAATTTTTCCAGCATCCCCAGGATCCTACTTATACGACCTGCAAAGTTATTCAGTCTCTCTGAGCCTGAGCTTCCTCAACTGCAAAACAGGGAGTAATGATAACCACCTCATATTATTTGCAAAACAAAAACAAAATCATTCACTCATGCATTCATTCATTCAGACATTTGAAGTATAGGGATATAATGGAAAGATTAAACTGCTGCCCTAAAAAAATCTATAATCCCAGTGGGGGAAACAAACTAGTAGCTAGAAACAAATCAAATCTACAAGCCCCAGAGGTTTAGCACAGAGAGCTAAGGAAGCAAAGTACAGTACCTAATTTAGCCTGGGGGTAGGGGTTCTTGTCCAATTTCACACCTGAATTCTAAGTGAAAGTTAACAAGGCAGACAAAAGGAAGGGAAAGCATTCCAGGCAAAGAGAAAGGAACCCCCATCCAGTAAACACACTTTGCACAGTGACTAGTACATATATCTCCTCAATGTTTAAGATGCTCCTCTACAACATTAAGTTAAAAAAAATAAAAATAAAAAACTCTATCCAGAGTATCTGATTTTGAAAGAAAAAAATGCCATACTTGTACAAAAAAGATGAAAGAAAACATAAAAATCTAATAGTTTATTTTCTGCTTAATACTGTCAGTAAAATATAAATGTCTGCAATAATCCTATATTATCTTTATAATTTAAAATTTGAGTTTTAATGTTTGCTGAATTTGAAGGAGGAGAAACGAAAAACTGGGAAGCAAAGGAAAGAAAACAGGCCGTTCCATTGTAGTAATACCACTGGTTAACAGGGTGGGCCACAAAGTGTTAAGACTTCCTATCATTTTCTTTTGAAAAAAT